TGGCTTGGGTGTGATCTCCCCAGGGAGCAGGATCACTGGCAAAGCAAGTCCTTATAGTTTTGCATTAGACCCTGATCTTATCAAGGAGCTCCTGAAGTTAAACATTAAATGAGACCCTTGAACCTGACATTGAACTAAATATTTGATCAGCATTACCTTCACATATTTTGTTTTGTTGGTACCAGGGATTGAACTCTGGACCTTGCCCTTTTGAGGCAGGCTGTGGAAACACTGAGCTAAATCCTCGGCTTGAAAGGTTGTTGATATTGCCTGCAGTTGGTAGACTGCAGAGCCCCAGGACTGCTTAGAGGCTGTGTACGTGAGGGCTGGAACAGGGCATGGATGGATCCTCCCGTCTCTGTGGCCCTCTGGCTTGAAATAGGGAGATGTACTGGTGGGCTGACTCACCAGCAGTCAGTGTGTGCATTAACACACACATAGATGTCCTTCTACGCAGATACGGAGACACACACACACACACACCTACCTGTATGTACACATGCGTGTACACACTTTACCCCAAAACAGGCACGTGTCTATGATGCACACAATCATCATACACACACACACGTGTATCCACACATGTAGAAGTGCCTGTACTCCACACCTCCTCACTCTCCAAACACTTACAGACAGACACACATCTGTGCATGTGTGCACACACATGTCCATCCATACACACCTGCCTTCTCAGTGTGCATAAATGTACACACACACACACACACACACACAGAGCTAAAGCCCTGGCTGTGTACCAAATTCTGTGGTACTGTCCCTCTGAATGTGGTCAGTCCTTGTCAGCTCTCCCTTCCGAGGGTGCCTCACTGCAAACTGTTTTTGTGTTCTGGAGCCCTTGGGCCTGTGGTGGGGCCTTGGGGCTGCCTTGGGTGAGGGAGGAGCCTGGTGCCGGGCATTCACGCCTTTCTCTGGCTGCAGCAGAACTTCTAGGCTTCCCTGCTTTCCCTGGTTGCGGCTTCTCACGTCATATGCATGAAAGGGTGCGGAAGTGTGAATATCTGGAAAGGAGAAGAGTGCAGGCAGCCAGCAGAGGAAGTTAGCAGAGGCAGGAGCACCGGGGTGTCAGCCCGCGGCCATGGTGGGTGATGATCCCTCCGCCTTCCCATCCCTCGGCTCCCCGTGTCCCATCTCCTGCCGTCTTCCCTCTGCAGCGCCTCTGTGGATGCCATGGTAACTGCTGAGTGGGGCAATTCCATTGTGTATTTTGTTGCAGTCCAATTATTTAGTTAAAGTTCCAGAAAACTATTAGTCAGAATCACAAGAAAGATTTGCAAGAATACATAGAAAGTTTTGCAACCTAGAGACTAAAATACAAAGCGTTACTAAACTTAGACCTTCCTCTATAATGTCAAGGTCTGGACTTGGATTCATCTACAAACACCCTTGTATCATGGCCATGGCTGAGAAATTCTTCTGAGCTCTGAAAGCTCCTCTCTCAACTGTTGTATTTTTCCAAAAGCACGAGAAAATACCTTCCGAACACCATGCATCACAGGTGGATCTGACTCCCATTGTGGGCCTTACAAAAACGAGAGTGGACAGTCTAAGAAATGGAAGACTTAGATAATAACAGCTTGTAACTAGGAATTGACGTGGCAGACTAATAAAGGAAAAAGCCAGATTAGTCCGATTCTGCATTTTATAGCACGACCACACTGATGAGCAGAAGGCCAATTTGAGATTGCATTTTAACCAGATTTTGACCAGGGTATGTGGATATCATTGTTGGCAGATAAAGCAATGTCAGATAAGTAATGTCTACAACTCTTTTGTTCTTTCTGTTTTTGAGTGCTGGGGCCTTCTCACAGAGCTGTATCCTTAGCCCTTTTTCTCATTTTTACTTTTTGAGATGAGGTATCACTAAGTCACTAAGTTGCCCAGGTTGGGCTCTTACTCACAGTTCTCCTGCTTCAGCCTCCTAGAGTGCTGGGATTACACTTGGAAAAGAGGTTTCCAATGGTCTGTCTGTCATGGCGACGTTGTCATTGACTATTGATTGATCTGTCTCCCTCACTAGAACTGAAGTTTGGTAATAGCAGGAGCGAGGGCTGTTTTATTCGGCCTTGTATTCTTCTTATAATGGATGATGGGGTCCAAGATAGGTTTGTAGGTCCTTCTGTGTGACAAAGAAAGAGCTGGCATGGTCTGCAGCAGCAAGGTTCATCACAGACACAAAATGCTCAGAGTGGGTGGGCTCCTACTGGGATCTTCCAGAGCATGATTGACAGGATGCTGAGCTGTGCCAGCTGCATCTATTATGCACGTGCTTTTCCATACGTAATTCATTCTGTTATACAGTGGATCCTCAAATTACGACTGGCCTGACATATGAACAATTTGAGTTAATTAGGTTAATGGAAGATTGATCTGCTGCTTGTTATCTACGGTGTGTACCCAGGCGAACATCCAGCACTCAGCTGTCCTGAACTAGTTACAACCAGCCCTTGGGAACCAACAGAGTTCATAAGTCAAGGGTCCACTGTAATTGTATGTATGAGATGCAGTCTGTATACATGAACCTTCAATGTGTTCCAGGTGAAGAAAGTTCAGGCAGGTAGGTTTGGAAATGTGGAATTTTCCAGAGCAAGCACCAAGATCTTTTTCATATTTCTACCTCTGTGCAATAAATTTTAGGGCAGGAATTAGGGTGTTGGCCCTGGGGTGTTGCCCAGGTTCATGTGAATGGAGAAAAGTGGTTCTGCAGCGAGTGGAGGGCGGCCCCACAGCCCCATTGTACCGCATGTATCATGTCAGGAATAGAACAGTCCTTGGCATGCAGTAGGAATTCCATAAATATTCAGAGAACGAGTGTGTTGTTAAAATGTTACTTAAACTATGGGAAGTATGTGTTTTAGAAGTCCCATGACATGGTGCAGGAAGGCTAGAACAGTGGCCTGTCTTAATCACATGAAATTTTAAAGCTTTCTGCTTTGATACAGATAAAATGCCTTCAAAGACAGGGAACTGAGACTTGGCAGAAAAAGACTGAAAAACTTTGCTTCTGGCTCTGGAAGATGGGATGATCAGGACCAATCCTCCTGCTAAGTGTTTATCAGGCCGAGTTAGATGGAATGTTAAAAAATACGCTCAAAGTTATCAAAATGCTGAATAAAAGCAGCTGCCAATGTGGAATTTTATACCCAGTGAAAATACCCTTTGGCAATAAAGATGAATTGAAGACATTTTCAGGAAAACAGAACTGGAGAGATTTCATCACCACACCGCACCTAAAAGAACTTAGGATGGAAAATGACCTCGTTGGCAAGCCTGGGAACAGAGGAAGGATTGAGCAGCAGAAGGGTAGTGACTTGGTAGGAAGACTGAAATGGTTGGTTGTCTAGGACAAATAGAATAGTAGTGCCTTGTGGGATACGACAGCTAGGTAATTAAATAGCATATAAGTGAGGAAGGAAGAAAACAGTTTTAAGGTGTTGAAAGTTCCTGACATTATTTGAGAATGGAGCAAAAATATCATGTCAGACTTAATCATTAAACTAGTCATCAAAAAATGACAAATGATACATAAGCATCAAGGTAAGGAAGGGAGCAAATGGAATGCAGAACAACAAGAAAGTAATCCAAAGAAGGCAAGGAGGAAGAGGAGAAAATATGCAAGACAAGAGTATGCAAAAGCATGCAAGTATGTAAGAGGATGGTTTAAACTAAATATATCGATATTCACATTAAATGCAAACAAACCAATCTGATTGAGAGAAGGGTTGTCATATTGTGTTTTCAAAAAGTTTTCTCTCTTTCCAGAGTCAGTAGTAATAAGGCATTACTGTCAAAAGAACAAATGAGTATTTGGATATATGAGGAAAACTATGGGTTCATGGATAGAGAAGTGAAAATCTTATTCTAATCTGCGCTGTTTGCACTGTAGTAAAAATATTTTGCTCTATTTGGAGCAATTTCCTGGGAGGTGAAGGTAGCTAGATGCCATTCCAGGAAGGGCCAGATCCCGTGGGTCTTTGAGTTGTGTAGCACAGTAAATGAGATCTGACATACTTGAGGTTTTGACATCTTCACCATACAATATTTCTTTTCTTTTTTTTAACGGGAAAACATTTATTGGTACATTGTAGGCACACAGAATAATAACACTCACCATGGGGAATTGGTACCTATACACGGTACACCCCACCTCTTTTAACCCAGTCCCTCTCCCCTCATGCTCTCTCCCTAAGTGCAAAAGTTTGTTTTCATTTTTTCTTTCTATTTTCTCTTTTTTTCTTGTCCCTGCCTTCCTTTCTCCCTCTCTCCCTCCTTGGTTCCTCTTCCCATTTCCCCATATCTATTATACATTTTAGTCCTTATTTCCACTGTATGGCTTCTCACACCAGCAAAACAATGTAGTATTTAAACACGTGTATCTGATTTATTTACTTAAGAGTATGATCTCAAGGTCCATTCATCTAGCTATAAATGTCTGAACTTCATCCTTCTTTATGGCAGAGTAGTGCTCCACTGTATAAAAAACCCACATCTTCATTATCCATTCATTGGTTGATGGGCATTTGGGATGTTTCAAAGATTTAGCTATTATAAACTGCCACTGTAACATGGGCCATACACTAGTTCAATGACAGAAAAGAAGACTTGCTTTATCTCCAACTTCTGGTTGTCCTCTCCTGGTCTTTCCCCTCACTGTATGAAACACAGAAATAAGTAATGTGATATTTACATAGCTATCATTCAAGTGTTCGAAAAGCACAGTGGAACATATGTGATCAACAGAGTCTCCCCATAGTTCCTGGATTATCTGCCATGACCTATATCAACCTGTCCGTGTCTTCAGTTTTGTGTCATTACAACATAACAGAAGGCCATTCTCTGGTGCGTTCTCCACGCCACCATCGTGCTACATTAACTATAATACAATATTCTTCAGTTACTCCAACAACATTCTAAAAAATGAGCTCTTAAAATGTGATTGCTTCAGGAACTTGGCAACAGGTAAAATATATTCTACTATATTTCAGGGACATTTGAGAGAGGAGCCATCAGCTCGGAGGAGATAAGACATGATAGAAGCCTTCAAATATCTGAAAGCAACAGAAATAGGCACCCTCAATTTCCCTGTAAGTGAGAAATTACTTCTTCAAATTCTCATTTAAACTTAACAGCCACGTATTCTAAGAAAGTACATTTGAGCATTTTTAGCTGTTTTGCCCTCTAGGCTGGGCAATGCTGTCCTTTGGTCCGATAGTTCTCACACGGTGTTTTCGAAGAGAGCCCTCTACTGGCAGGAGGATGTAACACATGGACCCCCTGGCATCAATAGCAAGAACGAGTTGCTCCTTTTGTCCCCTTCCCTTTGGGAAATTTAGAGCAAGCTTCTAGACCAGGACACTAGCTAAGCAAAGGTCCCTTAGAGGAGCTCTGGGACAAAATGATGGGAACAAAAATGAAGATATGATTCCACACTGGAGGAGAAAGTCTTCCCTTAAGCCACAGTAGCTCACAGATGCATCAGGACACTGAGGTCCCCACCAAAAGAATTCAGGGTTCCAAAGGGATTGAGGTAATTTTGACCTGGAAATTTGCAATTCCATGTGCTTCTTAGTTGGCGAAAAGCTTCCCTTTCCACCTCCAATGGTTCTTCTGTGGTGAGAAGCACAGAGAGGTTGGGGTCCTCAGCTCTGCCGGTTAGAACCTGCTAGATTCCACCATGGCCGGCGCAGAACTGGACACCTGGAAGCACTCCGTGTAGACTTGCTCCTTCCCCAATCCACTCAACAAATATTAATTAAGTATGAGAGTGTGCCAGGCACTAGGGTAGGCATTGGGTGAACAGGAAAGGCAAAATAACATCGATAGCAACAAACATATCACATTCCTGCCCTCACGACGTTTTACTTTCTCATCACTGAGGCACAACACTCAACACCTACGAATTAGAAGAGGGGAAGTTTATTTTAGCTCAGTGTGCAGAGGTTTCAGTCCAGCGTCAGTTGGTTTCAAGGCACTACAGCATGGCAGAGGAGTTGGGTAGAAGAGAAACCACTCCGGGCATAGTGTTGGCAAACAGAGAAAGATCAAGGAGGTGTGATCCACCTCCTCGCAGAATCCTTAATCCACTGACGAGTCTGATGTCCCCATGACCCAACCGTCTCTCCAAAGCCCCACCTGTGAACTCATGAGGCTCTGGGGGAGACATCTGGATATAAACCGCAACGACAGCCTAGTAGAAGAGACAGACATTTTTTCTTAAAATGAACAAGTTAATTCCATACTCGTGAGGTGAACTAAAGGCAGTGAAGGGACTGGGTAGGTAATGGTGACAGACACATTCAGGTTGGGTGGGGAGGAAGTGACCTTCATGCAGATGTGTGAAGGATGACAAGGGATGAACTGAACGGAGAAATAGGTGGATGAGGGAAAGGTTGGTGAGGATGTGCCTTCTGCCTGGGGGGAAAGGAGGTGGAGGAAGTAAGTTCTCCTAGCAATTCCCCTCATGATGGCCTATCAGCGCCCAGCACGATGCAAACATTACAGCATTCAGTTTTTGAAACAACCCCATGGAGGAGGACTTGTCCCTACCCCCATTTTATGTGGGGAAACTGAGGCTTGGATAGAGCAGGCAACTTGCCAAATGCTTCTAAGCTCCTAAGTGGTGGAGCCAGGCTTCTAGCTCAGTTTGGTCTTTGCCTGCAGGATTTTAGAGCTTGGGTTCTCTGTGCTGTGCAGAGTACAGGAAATGTCATCGTCAAATCTCCTGGACTTCTGAATTGTAAGGGGCAGCGTCTGCCCTCAGCATGGGAGCCACAGGCCTGAGCCTCTAGGAAAGGGCTTCCTGCTGAGAAGCCATGTGGGTTGCCTGTGGGAGATGAGTCACCGGGTCACAGGAGTGTTTGACCCAGCCCAGATGTGGGTGCCAGCACCCCTATCAAAGAGCCCTAGCTAGTCCCGCATCCCCACGTGGGGGGCATTTTTCCCCTGGAGCCCAGAACAGAGACTTCCTGGCCTATGAAGCCCAAGGTCTGTGATGCATGCCCCATCCCACACCTGGCTGTGCGTAGGCCAGGAAGGAATGGAGTCTGTGGGAGAGAGAGGGAAAGTTCGGGGCTGGGCAGTGGGAGCTCCAACCCTCAGGTCCATTTCCTTGCCCGAGGCTGGCGGCGTTTACCTGTCAGATGTCCTAGAGGTTGCCGGTAGGGCCCTCATAAATACTTTCGATGTCCTGTTTCAGCCCCTCAGCTCCGCACAGTTCACAGGCCCCTGCTTCCCACCCTGTCTCCCCTGGGTCTTTTGATTGCCTTGAGGGGGACTTGCCCCCCTTTGCAGTTCGGCTGGCTGAATGCAGTGACTCTCCCAAGGTGCACGCTTTTGATCCAGAATCTGGGTTCCCTGCTTGGGATCTGAGGTCTGTCTGCCTTCCTGTCTGCTGTGCACGCTGGCCCTGCCCTCCCCATGGCATCCTCAGTGCAGTCCTCTTCCTGCCACCCCTTCCCTTTGGCACCTTCTAACTCCAGCCTATATTTTATGACAAGTCCATATTCCACCAACACTGCGTTCTACATTACCACCTCGTATTTTTTGTTTTTGTCCTGCTGAAAAACCACAAGGCATCAGCATTTCCAGGCAGGGTGCGTTGGCACTTGGCAGCCAAAGAGAAAGAGGTCAAGGGCGATGAAGTTACCCACGTAAGTAAGACTGCCTAGTTAGTAAGTGGTACAGTGAGCACTGGATTTAAATACAGGCAATCTGAACTCAAAGCGAGTGTTTCTCTTATCTGCTTGTGCCCATAAACGGTCTGAACTTGGGGCAGCTCCTTTAGGCAGTTGGCATTACCACTTGGGATGGCCTTGAGCTGGTAAATCACTCACCACTTTAGGATAAGAGTGACCTAGCTTCTCCCAGTCTGAGCTTTGCTCTCTGTAAACAGAGCACAGTAACATCGACCTCAAAGCATTGTATAAGGTATGAATGAGGCAAAGGTAGGGAAGGGACTTCATGACGTTGATTTTTATTGCTACCAAGAGCAGGCAGTCTAGAGGTTAAGACTGCAAAGCTCTGGCATAGTCTGTCCTGTGATCGTGGGAAAATTTCACAGTCTCTCTGTGCCCCAGGTCCCTGTCTAGAAAATAGTTGGCAGAACAATAGAATCTGCACCATAAGGATACCGTCCTCCAAGGGATGGAGCAGTTGACGGCTGAATCCCAGTGCCCAGCACAGAGCTTGGAGCCGAAGCCTCTCATTAGAGAGAAGGAAGGAATGGTCACGTCCCATCACAAGCAGGTGCTGATGATACTGGTTGGCTGCTCTCAGTTCTGCTGTCACTGCTGTCATCTCACCTTGGCTTATCTCTCCTTTGACAAGACCAGGCTGCTTTTCATCTGCCATTCTTGGCACACAGTCCCTCTCCCACCGAGCTCAGCTGGCAGAAGCAGGAGTCCTACAGACAGGGACCAGATCGAGGATGCCTTCCTCTTCTGAAATCTACCTTCCAAACCACTGATCACTTGGATTTGTGCACACATGCACACACACACATACACACACACACACACACACACACACACCCTCACACACCCATGTATACACTCCACATAAAAAGAACTGAACTGACAGACACACTGCAGGCTTCCAAAGGAGCGACTCAGCTCCTGCAAACGAGAAGGCTTGTCAGTCTCGGTTCACTTCCAAGTCTGTCAGTTATCCAATTAGTCATCTCTCCAAAGGTGGAATTGTCATTAAAATAATCCAACATGCATGCTTGTTTGCGGGTGAGTGCGCATTGTGTGTGTAGGGAGGGAGAGGGGGAGTGATGGAAAAGGAAATGCCCTGGTATTTATATTGCAGTGCACACTGGTTTAAATTACCCCAGGGAGTATGTGCTGTATGTTATACATAATCCATGCTATTCAAAGGATGCTGGGGCTGATCTCTCCTCCTCCTTTCTTGCCTCCCCATTCATATAACCCAGGCTGCCTCCAGCTATCCCATTGGACCTGCTGGCCCTGAGCACGTGAAGGTGCAGTGAGTCCTGCAGAATGAGCATGTTTTTCTCAGAGGCAGCATGGTGCTGCCTGGCTGTCACCGCAGCCCTAGGCAGCATAGTTCTCTGCAAACACAAGAGCCCAGGGCAGCTGGGGACACCGGTGGTCTGGCTCGCTGGACTCTGCGGAGGGGCTTACCTGCTCGTCTTGCCCTTCTTCTGGAGCGTGACTCTCTTCTCCCTGTCGTGTTTCCTTGTGCATATGTACTCAGCTGACCAAGAGTTGTTACCCGTGGATCAAAAGGCAGTCCTGGTGACAGGTAAGTGGACGGCTCTCCCATAGTCACTGAAGGTAGGATCTGAAACTCTCCCTGCCTCAGTGAGACTTGCTCACATTTGGTTTAAATGCAGAACACTTGGTGTGGAGTAAAGGACAGCACATATCCAATTGTCTCTCACTGTACTGCTTTGGTGCACTGTCCTTAGGAGTTTCCCTGAAGGAGTTGGTGGGAAGAAGGGAGGTAAAGGCTTGGTGCACATAAGCAATGATTTTGGTTGTTTTCCAGGAATAAATATCAAGCAAGGCTGTCATTTCACATGTTTGTTGAATCTGAGAGTGTCCCATGAACTTCTTTAGGCTTAGAAGGAATTTTGTTTTCAGATGAATATTTGCCTGGGCTCTACACCTGGTTGTCTTCCCTAGCTGAGCAAGAAAGTATGCAAAACCCGGTTCCCCTGCACCTTGCTGTGTCTCTGGGGACTCACCCGTGCTAGAGATGTTGCAGTTCACATGGCTGCTTTCAAGAAACTTGTGTCCAGTCTGAACCCTTCCTCTTCAAGTGTGTCACTTCTAATGCATCTTAATTAGATCAAGTTGGCCGTGTGTGTACAGAAATCTAGCTGCTCATTAGCAGAGCTGCCAGTTTATTTCTTCTTTTGTTTTATTCCACTTCAAGTGTGAGGCCAAATTAAATTCCTTTGAGTTGTAAAACTGGTTCGTTTAGTCTTGAAATCTAAATGCACATAGGGCTTTAATTAGGATTATTCAGACTTCTTCTAACCCAGAAAATTGTGGAAGATAAGGAAAGAACATCAGCTGTTGAATCATTTGCTGGGAGGTCATCAGTCATACTCTGACCCACTGGATGTATTGAAGGAAGAGCTGGGGTTTCCACACCTCATTGGGAAATAGACTCTAAAGTAACTTTTCCTATTTTGCCTTTTACTTTAACCCAATAACAAAATGATTTCTTGAAACGAAATGCAAGCCGGTGCTTGTTAGGATTTTAAAGTGCTGGGGAAGATGAGCTTCTTTAAATTAAAAAGAAATCAAAGTAGATAATCAGTCAATCCATGTAATGTTTATCTACAGGAATGCTTGGGGAAACCTGGAATCCTGCATTTAGGAGACTGGCTTGGTCATCCTGTCGTCAGTAGGACGGGGGTTGGGGTAGAAGCTGGGCTAATGGTTCTATTCTGCCTACACTAAGCAGTGAGCACCCAAGGACTTCACAATTTTTTCAAGTCAGACTTGTTTTTTGTAATTTTCCAGCTGCCTCAGAAAACTTAAGCATAACAAACAAAGAAAAATTGGGAAAAGCAATGCCATTTTTGGCACTCAGGGGATCTTCTGGAGGGCTAAATATTCCTGGGGAAATTAGAATCAGGATACAGTACTTTTATGGCGAATAAATGAGAATAGTCAATCTTAAGTGAACCTCAGGGTAGCTGGAAAAATAGGAATCTGCTTATCTTTGTTTATCTTATCACTTTTGTTATCCTTTGTGTCCACAGTGTAGGCATGGGTGATGGTCACAAAGTACACACTCATCTCAACAAGCCCACAGCAGCCCTTGTAATTTTTGGCTGTTTAAAGTCCAGTAAGATAACTAAATTCATCAGAGAGGTCAAACCCTGTGACTAACCCCTAAGTGGAATGTTGAGCAATTAGGAACTTTAGAATTAAGATGAGAACATGCAATTTTGAAAATGACTGAAATGTCATGTTCAAGTTCTTTGTCATTTCGACACAGGCTCAGCATCATTCTAGAGAAGGTTCAAGACCTTTGTACTGAATGGAGAAATTTAAAATGAATTCCATTAGTCAGACCAGGACTAATTTTAGAAGATTAGAAACCACCGAGTTAACCTTGTTTCAAGTTGGCTTGGCTGTAAACTGGTTTGTATTTTGGTGGGTATTAGGTAGGGGAAACAATCTGACAGTGCACACTGAGGATAATAAGTATTATGCCTTGAGCTCTTGAGAATTCTCTTGAAGATGTAATGTGGGGACAGGGGATGTAGTTCAATGATAGAGCACTTGCTTAGCATGGACGAGGTCCCAGACCCAAGCCCCAGCACTGCAAACAAAGCACCCTGAAGTATGTAAAATTAATCCAAGCAAAGCAAACTGATAGCAGAAGAACCTTTTGACTCAGAGGTCACTGAAATGAGAATTGGGTCTTCAGTGAAAGGGAGTCAGCCTTGATTGAAAGAAGGACCTAGCTGTTTCCAGAACAAAGACAGCAGCAAGGTTTTTATCAATTTCGAGTGGGCTAAAGTTAGGTAATTCCCATAGGCCATTTCAAAAGGTAGCTCTTCTTGTATTCACCTGTCCTGAGTTACTTTGTAGCTCACACTATCATCCCGGGCGGATATTCTGGCCTTGTGATTCTGTCCAGGCTCTATGGTGGGGGTTGAAGGAATTTAGGTGCTTGGGTTGTTACAGCTTTTGAAGAAGCACGGGGTGGGAGTAGGAAAGAGGGGAGAGAGAAAGACAAAGAAAACACAGATTAGCTGCAATAGGCAAGAGGCCACACTGCCTGTGTTATAGTCTTTGACAAAACGCTTTAAAAATAATCAACACACCTGTGTGCAGAGCGGAGTAGCATTTGACCCAAGGGTTAAGATAGGACAGCAAAGGGGACAGAGGCACAAAGACAAAGACCTCAAGACATTTATCTATTTGTTTTGTTTTTCGTTTTTTTATTTTCTGAGACAGAGTCTCACTATGTGGTTGAGACTGACCTTTAACTCACTGCGTAGCTCAGGCTGCTCTCGAACTCACAGCGATCCTCCTGCCTCAGCCTCCCGATTACAGGCATGCGCCACCACGCCCAGCAAGTCGTTTATCTATTTGGTTACCTATTAGATATCTGTAGCCTCAAAGAGTCAGTGTTTTCAGCAAAAGCAGCCCTTAAATTTCTGCAAGGTGACCAAGGTGACTTATCATAAGCCACAAAGAAGTATTATGTGCAGCAAAGCTGGTAGGCAACTAATAATGTATTACCCAGCTGCATGACTTCCAAACTTAGTGATCTTATGCCTACCAGGAACAAGTGAAGCTGGAGCGATCACTTAGGTTTTTCTTTGCTAACATCGCTCATTTTGTGTAAATATTTCTTCTGTGGTTTCATCAAGGTCTCATAATGTGAACCAATATGCCAGACCATAAAAGATAATAGTTTACTGCACCCGGAGGATTATTTTGTTTTCATAACCTTGGTCCTACCATGGTGGTCGCTGTCTTAAAGCAGTATCTTCAGTTCACATTTGGGCCAGGATTTAGCTCAGGGGTGCCGCCGCTGCCTGCCTCACAAGCACAAGGTCCTGAGTTTGATTCCCTGGTACCAAAAAACGAATGAACAAGCAAACAAAACAACCAAAATGGTGATAATCAATGGTACACCCATCCTCTGGGTGTGACAGAGGGCAGCCATCTGAGGTGACAACCACAGGGATTATATTAAAGCTGCTTGGATTCCAGGGCCAGGGAAACACAAGGGAGAGCCAAGTGTTTGAACAAGACACAACCTGTCCCCATGCACAGATTCTTTGCAGGTGACAGCTGGAAAGTACTAGTTCTTACATGGGTGGAAGGAAGGAAGTCATTATAAAGGAAATAATTGGTAAGTGGTTAGAGTAGGGTACTTGGATATTTTACCAAATTTTAGATTTCTCTAATGGCTTTATATTTCTCATATCCCCCAGACACTAAAAAGACAGAGATAACATTAAAGATCAAGCTCACTTTATCTGCCACTGAATTATGGATCCAGTAGAAGGACAACTGCAAAGACAAGTTAAAGAAAGTAACATTTTCCCTCTTGGAGTTCCTTATTTCGTTTCCCCATGATGTTCAAAGCTATGTTGCCTTGGAGACAATGTAGCTGCCTTAAGAAGAAGAAAGAGCACATTTGCTCGAACATGTGCTTGTCTCCATGGTTCCTACAACAACCGCGATGGCCATTTAATTTTTTAAATGACCGTAAAATTAATGACGAGCAGACAAATACAACTTCAAAAACATCCCAAGTACACTACGGCAAGAAAGAACTTGGAAGTCGGGCAGGTTTGGGGTCCCCAGAGGCAGGATGCGAAAGTGATCTGTCAGGAAAATTTCTAAGGAGGGTGGACAGGTGAGGGGAGGAGGCCAGCGAGGGCCTCAAGGGAAGTCCCCCGAGGTCACACTGGTTTTGATTATCTTGGGAAGATGTGGTGGCCTGGGACTCACATGTTAAGAGCTGCCCAGGCTGGCAATCAGAGAGCTGTAGGTTTGGTGCTATCAATCTGTCACTCATTGGTTAAGGCGGCCACATTCCCTCCACTTTCCCCTCAGGTTCTGGGGAGGACAGGAGGCTTAGGCTGCAGGCACTGTAGGCTCCAGGCAGTTGCATGCAGTGGCCTGGAACACTGTGGCAGCCCTTGGGCAGGGAGAGACAGATGCGCTGGCTCCCAGAAGCAAGAGTGCACCACAGAGTTGATGCACATGAAATGGCCAAGGGATCCCAGGAATCTTCTGCCAAGTGTCTGTTACCAGCTGGATGGTCTTTGGCCAAATAAATGGAGGAAGGAAGATACATTTTTCCATTCAGTATTTACTGAGAGTGCAGTATGTACCATTTATTTTCCAGAAGCAGTGGTAGGAGAAAATTTAAAATCCCACGCAATTATCGTCATGTGATAGCACCGAAATTCCTACTTTTCCTTGACCTTGAACCCACATTCCCTGGGCTTCTTTCCTCCCGCTCCTCTGAGGCTGCTTCGTAATGTTCTTCTCAGTTCCTCTCTCAGCTTGGTGGGAGACATACAGGCAACCTTGGTTTTCTACTCTTGGCTTCCCATCCTGGCCAGCCCAATCTTTCCCAACACCTCCAGTGTTAACTACAGATTCGCCGTCTGTTGTGAAGCCGGGCGTTTCATGGTTCAGTGGGCAAGACACAGGCACACCTAACTGTGGCTGCGGGGTGTGACATGAGAGTCACCTCCGGGGGAGTTCCCAAAGTGCTGTGAAGCCCAGGGTAGGGGAAGTCTTGTGTGA